CTTCCTCCTGGATCCCGCCTCTAAACCCACGGCAACCCCTCCTCGCACGCCTCGCTCCCCCCCCCCCAAAAGGCCTACAGCAGCAACCTGGTCGACTTCCATTTGGTCCTCGACCTGCTGCCCCCCCTGGCTGCCACCTACCTGGCCGGCCGCCTGCCGGCCACCCTCAGCTACGGCCAGGCCGCCATTCTGCTGGCCCTGGGGCTGCAGAGGCGCGAGCTGTCAGAGGTCGAGGCCGCCCTGGGCCTGCCCAGCAACCAGGCGCGCGGGCGGGGCGGGGCGTTGCGGCGCGCCGAACCCATGTTTCAAGCGTGCCTGGGTGGTGCATCCGGGGGGGGCGGCGCCGAGGGGCCGCCCTCGGCGGGCCGGCCGGCAGGGCAGGGCGGGGCGCGCGCCCCGCCGAAGCGTGCCGCGCAGCTCCCGCTGATGGCGCCGATCTTCATCTCTCTTTCCAGCCGCTTCTGCTCCCACCGTACATTCGCCTCGTCACCCAACCTGAGAAGCATCTCGTCGCAAGCGTCGTCGCTTCGCCCCCCGAGCACCTCTGGCCCGCATCCCCACCTTGCCCCCTTTTTGCCCCAGGTCTTGGCGCTGTTCAATAAGGCGGTGCGGAAGCTGCACTCTCATATACGCGCCGCCAAGGAGGCCGCCATATCCCGCCACCTCCCCAAGCCGAGCGCCGCGCCCGCGCTGGCGCCGCTCGGCGCTGCCAGGGGCGGGGGCGCCGACCTGGATGCCGAGCTGGACGAGGCGGGGGAGGAAGCTTCGCGGAAGCTGCGGGCGCTGCTGGACCCGGCGGAGCTGCAGCAGTACGCCGTCACGGGTGGGCTGCGGGGAGGGGAGGGGCGCGGTGCGACGGCAAGCGGGGTTTTGTTTTTTCAGGCAGGCTACTGGAGCCTGACAACCGTCAAGTGGCTAGCAACTGCTGCGTGTTTTTTGGGTGGTGGGCACAGCGCGAGCCGCCGGTGGGAGCACAGCCCCTGACGCAGCCCGTTGCACCATGTGGCAAACCACCCCTGCAGGCGCGGACGAGGACTTTGCGCGCGCGCTGGGCGGCGCCGCGCCGGGCGCCGGCGGGGTCGTGCAGGTCAAGAGCAGCAGCGGCGCCAAGAAGGCGGGCGGCAAGGACGGCAAGGACGGCGGCAAGGACGGCGCGCAGCTGTACAAGAAGGGCGGCGGCAAGAAGCAAAAGGGGACGCCTGGCGGCGGCGGCAAGCCCGCCAAGAAGCACAAAAAAGGATGAGACCGGTGGGGCCTTGTTTGCAACGTCACCAGATTGCCATAACCCTACCAGCTACCATAACACGCCCGGCTCTTGCATGTGTAAATTCTTGCCAAACCTCGCGTACACCTTTTTCGGTGCACCGCATACAGCGACCATAAAAGATACACGAATTGCGTTGACCGCGGAACTTGCCGGCCTGGCAGTGCCTCCCTCTAAACCGTGCTGTATATATATCAAGTGACATCTCCGACAGCTTGACGAGTATCACAGGCCTTCACGCGCACAGCGCGCGTCGCCACGCAAGAGCGCGCGCCGCCTCTGCCGTGTGACGACACACTAAGCACCAGACCTAAGGAGTAAGCTCGCCATGCCTTGGAATGCGGACGTTGAGTGGCTGAAGCAGCACCCTGACCCGCGGCTGGTCGTGGGCGTCGCCGTCGACGGCTCGTCCATTGGCGACAAGGCGCTGCAGGCAGCAGTAGCGCTCCACCGGGAGAGGCGTGCTGACAGGGTGAGCAGGGCGGGCGCGTGTGCATGCCCGGCCTGCAAGGTGGCTCCGGGACTCACCTCGTCTAGTGTCCAGCTGCCGGTGCGTGATGATGCACCAAAGCGTGCGCCAACGCAGGCGTATCCCGCCAATCAATACGTTCATGTGGTGGCTGGCACGGGCAAGCAAGCAGCCTGTGCTCACGGCCTGCCAGCATGGTTGCCCGGCCCCCCATCCCGCCTGCCCTCGCCTCCTGCCTGCAGCTGGTGCTCCTGCATGTCGGCGACGGCAGCAAGGCGTCCTGGCTGCCGCGCCACCTGACGCCGCGCTACCTGGAGAGCACGTATGTCGGCAAGGCGGCAGACCTTCACGTGCGTCCCTCCTCGGGCGTTCCACACACGGTTTCCTGTTTGCTCGGCGGCCGCTAATTTCGGCGCCAGCCCACAGCCAGTCAAATCTGCTGCAGCAGGGTTGAAGTTCTGTTGGCAGCTGTGCGGGCGCAGCAGGTTGTCGTCGGCAGCGACGAGCTTGCGTGCGCCTCACCACCGCTGGGCCCGACTGACAAACCGCGCAGGTTCACGCTGAGTGGGCGTACAGGGAGAAGGCGGACGGTCAGAGCACGTGCGAGGCGCTGACCGCGCTGGCAGAGTCCCAGGCCGTGGGGCTGCTGGTGGTGGGCAGCTACGGCCGCAAGGGGGAGAAGTCGTTTGACATGCTGGTGCGTGAGTCTGCGATTCCTGTGCCGTGGCTGTAGGGGCGTGCGCTGTGTGTGCTCTTGGGTTCGCGTTGTTTCCAGTGCGCTCGCAGCTTGACGAGGCGGCAGTCGCGCGTTGGGCACACAGGGTTGCTGCCATGTTGGGGTTTGGTCAAGGCTGTGTTGGCCTCTTTAGAAGCACTGCTTCTGGCAGAGTGTGGCAGCGAAATCGCAGGCGCTGGACTGTCCGTCGCAGGCAGTCCATGGCGTGCGCCCCTCGCTTGGTCCAGCAGCAGCACTCCCCCGGCGCTCCTGCTCGCCGCATCATTCGCCCATCGTGCCATCGACTTGTACCGCAAGCGCAGGGCCACGTGTCGGACTACTCGCTGCGCGAGAGCCACTGCAGCGTCTGCATCGTGCGCTCGTCCAGCCCGCCCGCCGGCCCCGCGGGGGAGCAGGACTACCTGTTTGCCACAGACGGCTCGAAGGCCGCCGCCCTCGCGTTCTGCACGCTCGTCCGCCAGTGAGCGTCGGGCCGCAGCTATTGATAGACGACCGTGCAGGGCAGGGGCAGGCCGCCCAAGGACCCCAACAGCTCTCCCCCCTTGCCGCAAGGCGGCATGCTCTCGTTCATCCTGGACTGGCCGTGAGACTAGAGCCGTCTGCTGGCCGACACTGGCAACTGTGAAGCTCATGCAGCACATTCTGCGTCTGCCGCTGGTTGAAGCGCGGCCCCCCCCTGGCCCCACCCACCCCTGTCCGGCTGCGCCGGCCGCCCTTTCCAGGGTGCTGCGCCCCGGCGACAAGGTGCTGGTGGCGCAGGCCACCTACGACCACGGCGCCGGCCGGGAGAGCGAGGAGCTGTTTGAGTCCTACAAGAAGATGATGGACGCGCACAAGGCACGGCTGACAGGGAGCATCATGACGTTCCCCCCCACTATGCGCACAAGCAGGCGTTGTGGCATGCGTTTGACCTCCAAAATCCTGCCGACCTCGATCGCTCCAGCCCACAGCCGGCTGCATGCGCCAAGATCTTTGCACATCCAGCCTCATCTAGGCCTTTGCGCAGCAGGTCTCCGCCCGCCAGGTGGCGTGCGTGTCCTCAGGCTGCAACCCCACTCGTGCCCTCTCGCTCCACCAAACCCTGGGCCCCCACCTCATCCCGCCCCAGGTCAGCGGGGAGTGCCTGGTGTGGCACGTGTCGCGTGAGAGGCGCGTCAGCGAGGGCATCCTGGAGCTGGCGACAGCCCGCCAGACCAACGTTTTGGTGGTCGGCATCAGCGGGTGGGTTGTGAAGTGGGGGAAATCTTGCAATGAAGAGGTGTGTGTGTGTGTGTGTGTGTGTTTGCTGGACAAGCCTGTGTGATTCTCTTGCTCCTGCGGTTGCAAGCATGTTGGCGCCGTATGCGCATGCTTTCACACACACACACACACACACGCACGCACGCACGCACGCATGCACGCATGCGCACGCACGCACACACACACACACACACACA